GAGGCACAGGGTCCCCTTGAGCCTGTCAGCAGGCCTGGAGGGGTTAGCAGCCTGAGCACAGCCCAGGTCAGCTGCGCAGGTCAGCAGGCCACTGAAGTGGGCCTTTGATCAGATCAACAGGAGCATGGAGTTGAGAACGTGGGAGTATATGGGGTCTGTTCTCACCGCACCCTGTGGCTCCTGTGTGCCTCCCTATGTCCTGAGTCAGGGAGAAGGACGAGCTGGATTTGGGGTTGGGAGGATCTAGAGACCTGTCCTGCGAGGGCCACCCGCTGAGAGAGCAGGCCCCAGCAAGCCTGCCGTGCTAACATGGGTCAGCTGGGCCACTAGGCCTCGAGGCTCAGGGGCCAGGTGGGGACTCTGAAGCGCCCGCAGCCTGAGCCCAGTCTCTTCCCAGGACCTGGTGGAGCTAGAGGTGGTGCAGCTGCGGGCGGTGAGGATCCGCGCGCCCATCACGCGCATGAGGACGGGCACCCAGGTGAGGACCAGTCGGGATGGGGCTCCGTGTTCTGGTTGTGACGAAGCCACTGTGAGGGCACTTCCCTGCGCCAAAGCCCCTGCCCCTGTCCCTGTGCCAGAGCCTGTCCCCCTACCTGCGCCAGGTGGCCCTGTGAGGTTGGCCAGTCAGCGGATGGACATGGACACCCTGAGTCCTGTGCACAGCCAGGGCTGCTGTCCCTTGGCACCCGAGGGGCCTGGTTCCCGGAATCCCTGCCAGTACCAAGACCTAAGTGTGCCCACGTCCCTCGTGTGAAGCGCCCCGTGGGTGCAGGGGCCTGTGTGTCCTCCCAGGCACCTGGGGTCGTCCCCAGTGTCCCCAGCATGCCCAGGGCGAGGTCGGACAGTTCTCAGGCCCTCGCAGCTGGTTGCGGGTGTGGCTTGCACCGCGCGTCCCCAGTCTGCCACCTGGAGTCGGGCTGGGGGCCGGCTGCCTGTGCCCACGCCCTACAGGCAGAGGCCCCTGCTGGCCTGGGAGGGTCAGCAGGAGGGTGCGGACCTCAGGCAGCGTGGGCTGAGTGGCCAGGGGGTGTCCGCAGGCCTCCTGCAGCCCCAGGGGTCCTTCCAGAAATGCACCTGGCCATGCACAGCCCCTGGCAGGGAGGGACGGGCCGGTCCCCAGTGGTTGGATTATCTGGTGTTTGGTCAGGGCTCCCAGAACCTGTGTCCGGCCCGAGTCCACGCAGGGTGGACGTGGACAGAGAGGCAGAGCCCCTGGAGGAGGGTCCCCAGCCTGGGTGCGTGGGTGCTCACAGGCCCGGCTCTCTCACCCCCAGATGCCCGTCTATGTCACCGGGATCACCAACAACCAGAGCCCTTTCTCCTTTGCAAACGCCGTGCCAGGCCTGACCTTCCACTGGTCGGTCACCAAGCGCGACATCCTGGAGCTCCGTGGGCGGCACCACGAGGTAGGGCCCAGCCTGCCTCCCGGAGGGCGGGCGGCCTCATTGCCCTGGGGGCCTGTCCCAGGGCAGGGGACACAGGGCCCGCTGCAGGACACAGTGTGGCTTATCACAGACGTCCTGCAGTGGGCCCTGTGGGGGACCCCACAAAACCCAGCAGCCCCCACATAACACTCCCACGCACACACAGGGCTCCAGGCCCCGCTCAGTGACCCCGCGTCCCAGGCACCATGCAGAGTGGCCGGTGGCCTTGTGTGGGTGATTGCCGTCTGTGTGGCCCTGGGTCAGCAGATCTGACCCTGGCCGAGGGCAGTGGCCTTGGGGAAGAGGGTGCCCCCAGGCCTGTCCCTGAGCCCGCTCTCTGCCTTCCAGGCGTCCATTCAGCTGCCCTCGCAGTACAACTTCGCCATGAGCCTGCTCGGCCGGGCGAAGGGCCGCACGGGGCTGAGGGTGGTGGTCAAGGCCCTGGACCCCTCGGCGGGACAGCTGCACGGCCTTGCCAAGGAGCTCTCGGACGAGATCCAGGTCCAGGTACCGACGGGACACAGCCGTGAGGGCAGCAGACAGCGCAGGGGCCTGGCCCAGAGCTCAGGGCTGGGCCCCTGGTGTGGGGGACCCTCGCTGCACTGAGGGGCTGCGCCTGCCTGGGGAGGACGGGCAGAGGGGGTGTGTGTCACCCTGGGGGGAGCCCAAGGGTTGTGTCACCAGACTGCACGGAGGGACTCTGCCGGTGGCAGGGTTGGCTGCAGATCTGAGCAGCAAAGGCCTGGTGACCGGGGACAGCCTATGGGTTCCAGGAACAGCAGCTGGGCCTAGTTCAGGAGAGGGCGGGGCCTGCTCAGGGGAGGGTGGAGCCTGCTCAGGGGAGGGCGGAGTCTGCTCAGGGGAGGGCGGAGTCTGCTCAGGGGAGGGCGGAGCCTGCTCCGGAGAGGGCGGAGCCTGCTCAGGGGAGGGCGGAGTCTGCTCAGGGGAGGGCGGAGCCTGCTCAGGGGAGGGC